AGCCAAAAACTGTCAGCTGGTCTGTCAACCAGCAAGAATAAATATTCCTTATAGCTTTTTATGTTATTTTATTCTAACTGCCACAGTCAGTTCACTAAGACACCAGCTCCAGTTAAACAAACCTCTCTCTGTTCAGTTCCTGATCCTGCAAACACTTTATTCATGTGTATAAGTGACTGTAAAATCAGACATTAACTGATTATAATAATTCAGTACTGTTACTAGCAACAGGATTTGAGTTATGCCCACAGCCATGTGGTGAAGAGATGTTGTGCTATCTAACCTAACCCTAATACAGCAACTTTCACCATAGTGTCATGAGAGCGGCTACTCTTCAGATGAGTCTCTAAACTCATCAGGTGCCTATCACTGGTGGCTCAAGTGGAAATTAAATCCCATGATATCCCGGAAAGAACAGGAGTTAACCCTTTGTCCTAACCAGTATTCTCTATTTTGGTAAAACAGATTTTAATGCCCAAGGCTAGCGCAGGGAGAGTATAATCGTTGCCTATATAGCTATTCTGCAGTACCAGTCTTTAACTCATCCTTATAAAGGACTTTGAAATATCTGCAGTATGACAGACACGTATATAATTACACAGCAAATAACCAGATTAAAAGAACATTATCAAGATTGCAAAGTCAATCATTCAAAAGTTAGGAACTGCCAGAATTAAGATTGCCTGCATACCCTTAATTCAGCTCCCTTGGACATATGCATTAAGATACAGATATATTTTCCACAGGATCCTTGCCTCATTGAATGCACAGAATAGATGGTGCTCATTTAATCAGCAGCTATTTGATATTGTCTTTTCTCCTCATTGTTAAATGTCTGGCCCCAAATCTTATTTACTGCACACTATTCAGACCCTGTTCTGAAGACAGAATTATTAATTTTCTCATGGCCTTCACTACGGTGTTCATCACTATAGTATCTGAGTGCTTCACAAACATACATTTATTTTCACAACACCCCTGTGAGATGCAGGGGGAGTTGTTACCCCCATTTTACAGATGAGGAACTGAGACACACAGATATTAAGAGCAACAGAGGGTCCTGTGGCATCTTTAAGACTAACAGAAGTATTGGGAGCATAAGCTTTCGTGGGTAAGAACCTCACTTCTTCAGATGCAACATCAATAAGTAGCAGCAGAACTGCAATGCCATTCCAGCTTTTCCCACAGAAAACTTTGGCATGTGTGTGCATCAAACCATTAGGCTGTGCTTGCTCTAGGTCTATTAGTTTACCTGTAAGGGCAACAGCTTAAACAGCTTAAACAAGTAACCTCCCCAAAACCTCTCCTCACCCCACTTAAGTCCTGGAAAGCAGTTTTATATTTTAAACACAAATGAGACGCCTAAAAGATTTCAGCGACCATAGCTCACAAGGACCAGAAGCAGAAAGCTTTTGACCTTTGCATAGACTTGCACACATACTCCACACTGAACTTTTGAACTGGCTGAAGAAAAACTGTTAATACTGCTGAGACACACAGATATTAAGAGCAACAGAGCAACTTGCATCTGAAGAAGTGAGGTTCTTACCCACGAAAGCTTATGCCCCCAATACTTCTGTTAGTCTTAAAGGTGCCACAGGACCCTCTGTTGCTCTTTACAGATTCAGACTAACACGGCTACCCCTCTGATACTTGACAGATATTAAGGTTCCCTAATTTTGGGTGCCCAATTTGAGACTCCTAGATCCTGGTTTTTCGGAGTATGTAGCATTATTTAGCATTTTATATGTTCAAAGCACAACTCCCATTGACTTCATTTGCAGCTGTGAGTGTTCAGCATTTCTGCAAATCAGACTCCAGGGTCTGAAGTCAAGCTCAGAAAATGAGGAACACACCATTAGTGACCACCTATGAGAAGTTTGGTTTAAGTGAGTTCTTTGGCTTCACTTAAAACTCCGGGACAGAGACAGGGATAGAATCCAATTCCCTAGGGCATCATTCAGCTGCCTTAACCACAAGATCATCCTTTCTCTTCCTGAAATCCCCTGCCTCATTCACTACACACCTTCCAATTACTGCAACAAATGAAGCAGGGCTCCTACAAACAACAGCCTTCTTCATCACTCAAATTTGATTTATCCCCAGGATAGGTCCATCCAGTGCACTGATGAGGCAGGGGTCCTGTGGAAAAATAGTATTTTAAAAGTCTAGAAAATTACACACACACATGCGTACATTAAAAGAACATTATCAAAAGTTGGGACAGTTTTATAAGCAACTGAAAAAATAGGGTCTTATAATGGGAAGTGTTAGGCAGTTTTAGTAATAATAGTGATGCTACCAACACTATCCATAACATTCTATGATAATTTTCTGTGATGTTATCACTGATCTTTGTCCTTTTTTATTATTAGGTTGTAAATACTACTGATTATCCACATAACTCCTGCTTTTTCTGGTTATTCAGACCTTCCCATTAAAGACCAAGTTCTGTTCTCACTTATATCCCTGAAATGCCATTAAAGTCAGTGGGGTTGCACAAGTGTAAGCAAAGGAAGAATTTGACCCCATATTTCCTGATCCCCTCTAAGACTCTCCCGTTTGGAGCCAATGGAGAAAATTGAACGAGCCAGTGTTACAGATGGGGCAATAGGTGAAACTTTCAACAGAAAAAATTAAATGCTGCAAAGGCAAATCTTTTCTTCCTATTGAAAAATGACATTATTCTTTGTATAAAGAAACAGACACCCTCTTTCGCAGAAGCCAAGAGTTAGGAAGCGTTACTGCGGCACTCTAGCCACTTGGATGTGAACTGTCAACAGAAACATTTATACCAAAACAAACAACGAGTTGCTGGAGGGAACAGTGACTAGCTACTCTTGAAGACAAGAAATTTTGGCAGCTGATATAATGAGCCCTGTATCAAAATAAATTCATGAGGAGGAAAATGCCTTCTTTTTAGCACCCAACTCAAATATCTCAATCTAAGACATTCAATGAACAGAGGGTAGCTGATATCCACATTAATTCTGATTGACAACTTTATAGGAAAATCTGATTTAATACTCTCATTTGTAAGGGGAGCACACTGGATTAGCGGAACTGGCTGCCAGATGTCACTGTTGTTTAATGGAAATATAGCTGCTGGTGCATTGATCAGACTGACTGGCGTTTAATGTGTTATGGTCAGGCAAGTGACTATGTAAAAATGGCACCTTCTTACTTGGTATGTGCTCCATGTTACATAGGGTTATTTTATTGACAAAAACAAGTTTTTATTATTGTCACTAGCTTTGCAGAGCCAAACCAGCTAGAGAAGGGTGAACTGGATTTCAACAACAAATGGGCATCTAAGTTCCAACTACAGAATCTTTATTGTTTCTGATGGTGTACAAAGCACATCCTCTGCTGGTGTCAAATGATATAGCCCTGTTGACAGATCAGGCCCAGAAAGAGCACACTGTGGCTTTTGGGTCCCACTCTGAGCAGCTCAGCCCTGTCATTTGGGGGAGGGAATCTTTTTACTTGTAACCTGAACGATTTGATATAGACATAATTGAGAGAGAGAACAAATATAGAACCTACCCTTCTCATAGAACCAGAAGAGTTGGAGATGGAATATATCTGCTATTTTATCTAGTCCATCTCCTTGCCAGTGCAGGGTTGTTCTGCACAGTGCATTTATTAGTGCAGTGTGTGCTCGGCATTCGGATTCCCACCATTTCCATGTGGCTGTTGATTCAGCTCTGTATTGTCATGGGTGGAATAACTATTGTGATTTGTGAGGCTAAATGGCTCCTTAAATGATTCCCTCCTGCTCTTTCTACAGCTTTTAATCAGTCTTTCTTCAGTTTCTACCTTTGTCCCATTCAGAGTCTCCAACTTCTATGTCTCTCCTGATGATTGTTTCCTTTGGTTTCTATCTTGTTTTGCTTCCTCAGGGACAGATTCTTCCACCCTTATTGGTGTTGAGTATTGCCTTACACCCACGCAGTCTGATTTCAGTGGGACTACTCAGGAAGGAAAGTATGACTCAGTATTAGGAAAGGTAGCAGAATCCAGCCCTCATGTCTTCCATACATACATAGGAGCATTCCAGGCTAGGCCTAGTGTTTTGGGGAAGGTTGATGAGATGACATTTTGGGCTCCTGTCATGAACGTCACTTTTAATAATGTGTGTGTAAGTCAGAGCCTTAAGTCAGCCACTGGCTTTCTCTGGTGTACAAGGAGTGGGGCCCAGCTATTTGTGCTGGGGTCTGTGCATAGTTGACCATGTTAGTAAATGTTTTCAACAATCAGTTCCTGAAATTAATCTGTGGGGCTGGAGAGGGACCCAGCTACAAGAAAGTTTTGTGTTTATTGTGATGAACATTAGGGTATTTTTAAGGGCTAATTCAGCCCAGGTTTATGCTGGCACCTACAGTCCCTCTGTGGATACAGAGGTGATGTTTGTAACTGTAGGCATCCAGCCAGTGACTTGGAACGCTAGTGGTGCCATCCTACTGCCATTCATGAAGGCTCTGGCATTCCCCAACCCCAACAGCAAGTTAATTAGGAATCCTACAACCTAGTCTCCTGGCAGAGATTCCTCCCCAATGCTCCAGCAGCATTTACACTGATGAAATTGCTACTAGATTATTCCTCCCTGCCCTTCCACAAAAGAGTCAATCTGTTTTAGCTTGTTCTATCTTGAGCTCATAAGCCTCAAGTGCTCCAGCTAGTAATAACCTTTTTTATGAGGCAGAAATGTTTCCATGGGACAGCAGGCTGCCGAGAGACTTGAAGTCAAAGAGCTTTTGATTTGAATTTACAATACAAAACAACAATAATCAATCAGTGGTTCTGTTTAGCTTCTATAATGCAGACATGAGGATGCTGGGGGGGAGGAAGGGCAAAATAACCCAAATTAATCTGAAAGTGAAGCTTCAGAGGTTTCCATTCAGTCACAGCTTCTCCAGTCCAGCTATCACTGGGATAAGAAGTGGGTGATGTTGTTTTCATTGTATACTCAAGGCTTCCTGTTTCTGGTCCCTTCTCAGGTGGGAGATTGGGAAATGGAGCTCCTGTAGTCTCACCTGTGGAGTTGGACTGCAGACTCGAGATGTCTTCTGCTCTCACCTCCTCTCAAGAGAGACGAATGAGACGGTGATTTTAGCAGATGAGCTGTGTCATAAACCCAAGCCCACCTTAGTGCAAGCCTGCAATCGTTTTGACTGCCCACCATCCTGGTACCCTACAGAATGGCAACAGGTAAGAGTGTGCACCTAATCCATTGTATCCCATTTGATGCTCATAAAAGAGACTGATCTAGTTTAGTCAGTGATACATAGTCGTTCAGTGCAGGCAAGAAGATTCATTTATCACCCAGGGCAGGCTGGTAAGTTCATTTAAAAAATGAAACATAGATGTCTGTCTTGAAGATCCCAGGACAGTGGTATCTTGTTATCTCATCTTAAACAAGGTCAATATAAAAACAAAGAGACAGAGAATATTTTTTTTCACGAAAGTGATTTTTATTAATTTGTAATTGATTTTCACAAATAAATATTGACTATTATTAAGTCTGAATCAGCTTCAAATCCAAAAGGATCATAAATCAGAGTCACAAGTAATGAAAAAAGGTGCCACGGCACATAATTCTTAGCTGCCATCATATGGCTTGTGGGGTAGCCACACAAAGGTCCATAGGAGTCGAGCTATACAGAGATTGTATTGATACCAGATGGGGAAGGAGAGAATGAATAGAACAAGTTTGTGGGCACTCCTTGAAAATCAAAGTAATATTTTAGTTGTGGAGGGATTTTTCCTCTACTTATTAAGGGTGAGATTTTTCAAAGGCACAAATGGCAGTTTAGACACTTCAGTCTTAGTGACTTTCAGTGGTAGTGGTAGTGGTAGGTGCCTAGTTGCCTGCTGTCTAAAAATCTCCTTCTAAATTGTGTGATACTTTGGGTCAGTGCGGTAGCTCTGTGTTTTTGGAAGGCAATTGGAAGATCTATTTTAGATCACAACTGAAATGAGTTTGTTGCCATGTAGATGCAAAATAAAACTCTGAGCTTCTTGACACAACAGAGAGTGCTTGAGTTAGGTGTAACCCTGCACAGCAAGAGGTCTTGCGGGTCAGGACTGAAGGTGAAATTCACTCCCCAACAGAGAGGCCAGAAAAAAGGCCAATGCACCACTTACCTCCCATTAAAACCTTCAAAATATGATTTGAGTAGGATTTAAGTGGTACATCAGCCCTTTGCTGGCCCTCTGTATGTGGGTTAATTTTGGCCAATAGGAAATGAGTGGGAGTTTTACCCAGTGCTTTCCCATGCTATGCCTGGCTCCAGCTGTAATGTATGCCACTTGTTTAAAAGCCAGTTGAGTTAGATGACATGTTCATATATATTCACCTAGTGGTGCTATTAAACTTGTACAGCAGTAATACATGAGGGAGCTCAGGGCTTATGCAGCCATCTTTGCAACAAAGCTCTGATTCAGTGTGCTCTTTTGCTAAAACCCCACAGCGCGAGTCCTTCACGTCTCTTTAAAAAGACTCAACATTATCTACACATTTAAAATATTAAGGTATATATGTATATTACACACATGTATTTTTAAATGTGTCTATCCCACACCCTGGACATACACACTGTAACTATAAACTGCATCCAAAAAACTACATTAAAAGGATGTTTGGGTGGCAAAGTCAAGTGCCCCCAAAGTTAGGAAATGCCAGATTTAAGGTTGCCTGTGCCTATACAAAAGCATATAACAAGTTCTTGCAGAGTAGAAACTGCTCTAATGTAGTTGAGAACTGTTAGAATATCGGTATGCTGCAGTTCCATCTAAGTTAGAACATTGAGCTTGGTAGGGAGGCTGGTTTTTGGAACCTGGCTTTAAAGCTGAGGCCCTATCTCCACTCTAGGGCCTTTTTGTAAGAGTAAGGGTTTCCACTGGTGTCCCTAGCTATGAGTTCTCTTACTCTTCACTGTTGTGGAATGTATAATGCACGGGTTGGCGTCTGGAACAAAGCATACAATGGTAGAAAGGACACCCAGAGTTGGATGTGATGGCTCCAGGTGTCAGCAGCCATTTCTCCTTTGGGGAAGCCACAACTGGCCAGTGCAGCCCTCATGGTACGGGGTACAGGATCTGGCCTGACAGATGGGGTATGTATTGTTTCAGCTTATCTCCCAGGGAGCCTCCACTGGCAGAGCTCCTGTGAAGGTCTGGCCACAGTTTAAAAGCTGCAGAACTTTGCATGAAGCGTTTAAACACTGCCTGCCCTGACTCAGAGTGAATCCCTCTCCCAGGGTGCAGGGGAGGGTTCATTTCCAGCAGAGGTGAATCAAGCCCCTATAGGAACACACACCTTTCCCACAACAAGGTATGCTGCAATTTCCCTATAAGCATTTTATCTGAAGTAGAATTTACATAGGGCGAAATCTACTCCCTTGCAGGGCCCATGCAAAGCTGATGAATCACTTAGCACTTGTCTACACTAACACTTAGCCTGTGGCTAGCTGGGTTGTGAATCTACCCTGCACTAGCCTACCATGATTTAGCTGTCCATGTGGACCTTGCTTATGCACAATTGCAGTTCAAAATCCTCTTTGAAACAGGACTGGATCAAAGTGCATTAACAAACTGTTAACATGCATCAGCAGAGTCCACCACAGCTACAGCATGGCAGGCTAGTGCAGGGTAGATTCACACCCCAGCTTGCCACAGGCTAAGTGTTTGTGTAGACAAGCCCTAAGGCCCACTTCAGCCCTTAAGGTGCCACCCAGGCCCTTGTGCTTGCCTCCTGACTAGTTGTGAATTTTGCCCGTATAATGTCTATGGTTCTGCTTTTCATAGCAGTCCCTCCTGGTAATTTTTAAACAGCAGCAAAAGTTTTAACCTACAAAGGTTCAGGAATGATATTTTCTTCTCTGAGGCTCTTTGTGTTTGTTAAAGGAAGATGGTCTGAATTAGATGTGTTTAAAAGCCCCATGTTCTTGGCAAATAAAGTCCTGATAATCATCCGAGCATGTAACATTCCGAATGATTAAAAATGCATCCTTATAAATTCAAGACTATATTTATTTTAAAAATGCTGTGTCCCTAGGACTGAGCCATTAGGATGTTTATCTTGTTTTCAGTAGTATGTTTCTGAAGGAAAGTGGATACCAAGTATTCATTTTTTACAAGCCCTAGTAAATATCTGCTCTGCAGTGATCAAGTGGGAGATGTCACATTAATAAATCTTCATCTGTCTTGGTTTTATTACTGAATAAAGGGCGAAGTCTCAGGCCTGTCCCTCTCTGTGGGTGCTCAGTGCTGTCCTGTCACTAAGGTTACTCTGGAACAATTTCCTGACCTAGATCAGCACTGGAAAACCACTGCCCTCTTCAGACTTTTCCAAGCTATTTTTCTCCTTATTTTAAAATGTATTTTTAAATTTAAGAAGTGGCAGGCCTTAGAAGCCAGCTGGATCACGCAGAGCTGCTGGCAGGAAGATGCCTGCTCTAGGCTCCCAAAGCAGCTGCTCTGCCTTGCTACGGAACCGTAGAAGCAAGTCGTTTTAGACAGTAAAAACTGTGCTTGAAGGCTAGACTGCAGCACATTGTCCTGTGTAGGGGGCAATGCAGATCTGGATTGCTGCAGGAGGAACTTGGAGTGGGGGGATTGTCCTTAGGAGGTACAGTCCCTTCCCGAATGCCCCAGTGGACAGGGAGAACTGCATATGCTACACCCTCCCTCAGAACTTTCAGCCAACTCCATGAACTGGCAAAGATGGGGCACAGAGCCATTGCCCCACCTTCTTTCTCCACACCTCTCTGTTCTCCACAGTTTGTGCACCACCCCCTGGGGAAACAGGATTAGCAGCACGGTGGCCCCCCCAGTACTTACCCAGTGTGCCTGCTAAGGCGAATGGGCCTAGCCCCTAAGCTTTTCTCCTCCTGCCACACTCACAAAATCTTCCGCTGGAGTGTTGATGGAGGGCCCAAGAGCAGTAGAAAGAGTTAACACACACCATAGAGACGCAAGGGGCAAGCCATGAGGGCTAGAAACTTCCATTAAAAAAAAGTCTGAAGTAATAACATGATTCTGAGAGCTAATAGTGCCCATGTTTTAGTCTAGCCCTGCACTAGATACAGTCATCAGGACAGAATGGGAATCTGTTGCAGTCTCTGCATTCTATCCAATGTTGTGAAATACGGAGGCTGATTTAGAGTAGCTGATTAATTTTCACAGAACAAAATTACCTGACTGGGCGGAGAAAAAAGAATTGGTAGAAAAATTCTGTTTTCTCCCTCTACTCTCAATAAATGCATGGGGTTTGGAAGGAGGCGCGATTCCCCAACATTAGACGGTCAATTCTTTGGAGCAAGGAGCATCTTATTGTTAGGTGTTTTGTACAGCACGTAGCACAATGAGGCTCTGATCTCTGATTGGAGTACCTCAGTGCTCCTGCAATACTACTACTTCTAACAATAATAATAATAAGCTTTACTTGTTTTCTGTTCTTGAATATGAGGCTTCTCAATCTTTTCATCTGCTGAAAACTCAAGTAGTATTTTATTGGGTTAAACTTTTCTTGAAGCTTTTGTGCTTTCTAACAATTTTGTTGTTGGGCAAAAGCTGTTTTCAGTCCTCAGAGAGCAAAACAAAATTGAATGCAAATCTTTTTACACAATTCTAATGTCTACACTCCCCACTTTGTCTTTCAAGACCAATTACTTTCTAGTAACATGAGGTCTGCACTTAAGCATGTCTGTGTGTGAGAGAGAGAGAGAGACCCATGATATCTACAATGTTTTACAGAGCGTTCATTTTTTAGCTACTTTAATATGTTTGTTAACATTTTTCCACTTCATGCTCTACTTCTCAGGCCTGATTCCCCTGCTGCAGATTATAAGCAGCTCCCACTGATTTCAGAAGATTAGTTCAGGTTTTCTTTTCTCCTCTGATAGGATGAGACAGACCTGGAACTGTATTAGTTGGATCGTACAGGAGAAAAGGAGCGTATTTCTAGCCAAATGACAAGTGCATCAGGAAGTAGGGCTGAGCTGCCATGTTTATAGAAGAGGGTCAAGGAAAGCTCTTAAATATGCTTGTTCTAAAGTTCCTGCCCTCCTTGGGTGGAAATGGATATGGAGGAAGTTATTTATATTAGGAGAGAGGGTAGCTGGAATCCCTAGAAATTAATCTCCCAGATCTACATTGAGTCAAATAAACCTTCCTCCTTCCCTTTTGGAAATAACATACACTGTTGTCACGGACAGTCATAAATATAAAGGGCTATGTGGCTGCTTAATGGTTTATTATACTAACCTTATAAACAAATTGTTTAGTGTAGCTGCAAATCAGAGGCTATGTGCAGCTTTCCCACGAATTAAAAATCCGAGAAGTCCCACACTGCAGTACTTATTTCAAATTCAGGACTTTAAGGTGGGGAGTTAAGTTTGGGTTTGTTGATTAATGAATGGGTTCAGAGTGAGCTGAAAGACCAATAGGCAGTTTCCATTGTGCTGTTTGTTTCTTTGCTCTTTACCTGGAAATGGCCACAAGTCAGAATTTAAGGTCAGCATGGATGACTCCCACTCCCTCAGCTTCTCTCGATCTTCCCCCAGTGTTCACAGACCTGCGGAGCAGGCACTCAGAAGCGAGATGTGCTCTGTAAGCAGCGCATGGCAGATGGAAGTTTTTTGGAGCTTCCAGAAACCTTCTGCTCCGCTCTGAGGCCAGTTGCCCAACAAGCCTGCAAAAATAAAGACTGTCCCAGCGAATGGCTTCTTTCCGACTGGACACAGGTATGTGGTATCTGTATAAGTGAGGAGTCCAATACTGGAAATAGATCTCATTGTCCAGAGGGGCCATCTCCTAGTGTCTTTTTTGAGTTACGAATATCCGGTAAATGTTCTTGAGACGAGAAATGAAAAGCAAATCCTCATCACTAGAGGGTCTGATGAAGCAGAAACCATTTATAACAATGGGAATCCTATGTCCAGACTGCAAAAAGAGGAGTCCGTTTTACCCAGCTATATCCCTGTGGTGGGGTTCTTTTCTTACTGGCATCCAGTATGACCACTTGCTCCGTGGCCCCTCTCTGGAGACTGGCTCCACTGATGTGGAGTAGTCCTCCAGCCAAACCCTAAAGACCTTCCCTTCTGGGGTAAGCAAGAATCCAAACACAAAATAATAAACTGACCTTTCCCAGGCCACCGCCTTCACTTCTGTTGATGGTTGCAAAGAGTGGCTTACCCTCCCCCAGGCTTCCTCCCCTTGTTAGAGTTCCCTCTGTGGATGCAGGCTGATGCCAATAGAGCCCACCTTGGCGTTTTCCCTTGATGCAGGGAAGTGAATGGAACTTCTTCCAATTCTCTGTAGAAGCACCAGCCTGGGCCGCTAAACGAGAAAGGGTTCACACGCCTGGCCGCAGTCCTACACCTCTTCTGTCATCCCAGGCTAGTGCTTTCTCCTGCTTTTCCTGCACCTCTGAACCTCACCCCCTCAGTGTCACAAGCAGACTTTTACTCCACTGAACTCGCTTGTGCCTCCACAGCATTCCCTTCTCCCAAGCTCCTCCATGGGCTAACTTCTCCAGCTCCCTTAGAGCAGAGCCCTACCCCAGGTCCTGACAAATCCCTAGTCTTTCTTCTTACTGAGGAACAGCCCATCTTTTATCCTGCTTTCCCTCTTCCCAGCAAGCCTTGCTCTCAGTCACATGCTCCCTATGAGTCCACAATCCCCAGAATACCAGGCCTCAAAGAGGCCAAGGTCAAGTGACAGGAGTGCTGGGCTGTCCCTGCCCTTTAAGGGATAGTACACCCTGATACATTGCCCCTGCTCTCCTTGTACCAAATTCTGCTCTCACTTACACTCATGCAACCCGACTGAAGTCAAGGGGCTGCATGGTTTGCAAGTGAGAGCAGAACACGGTCCTTTGACTTCAGAGGAATTATTCTACATTTACACCAGCATAACTGAGAACAGATTCTGGTCCTTTTATGAAAGGATATTTGTAAACTCTTCCCCCTTTTAATTCCCCCTTTCTCCTTCACACAAGGAGATAGTTAATAACTTCATCATGAAGGAAGCACCAGTCGTGCTAGGGAAGGGAGCTGTTCCACTCGACCCCACATGTGGCGATCTCTCTTGACATTCCAGTCAAATAAATGGATTTTCTAATGAAATCTGCTGCCAGGACACACACCCATTCTGGCAGCAAAGGGGTAATTCTATTCCCACCCCCCAACCTATCCTCCATCGCAAGGAGTGCAGCTTTAACATTTTTACTGTACATTATTTACATTAAAATCCATACAACTCATGTTTCTCACGCTAGCACTTTTTAAAATAGATTTTTTTTCTGCTCTAAGTAGCCTTTCGTTTGGTTCTTTCTTTTTCTCTGATCACTCTCAACTCTTTTCTTTCCTCTCATTCTGTCTCCCATGCCCAATTCTGTAACAGACTGACAGCCACACACACATGCGCTGGAAAAATACTAGGTATGGTGGCTCCCAAGAAACTGTGTGCCAGGTCCAGGACTGAGTTGAGTCTCCTGAGCTAGGGCTCTCAAACTTTTTCATTGCATGAACACCATCTCAGTGGACCACCAGCAATTGCTTCATGGACCATAATCCACAGGCCATAGTTTGAGGACAACTGCACAGGGGCATCTCTTTTGCATCTGATCATTGCATCATTAATCTCCCAGGTTAATTTTTAATAGTTCTACAATGGTAAAACAGAAAATCAAAGGTTTAATGCAATCTGAAGAATTTTTGCCAGTTTGCATCAAATTTGACAATGTAGGGCTAGATTGTGTTTTGCCCTTGTATGTCCGTGAGCAAGTGCCTTTCCCTCTACTTCGTGTGACTGCAAAACAGCCACACACAGTAGCAATAGCTGTGCTGCCTACACTTTAAGTAGCACAGTCACTGTTTGCTTCTGCTCCCCTTTCCAGAGAAAAGTATGCTGAAGAGAAAGCAGGAAAGAAGAAAGGTTATGGCCCTGCCCTCTTTGCACTCAGAGCTGAGCTAATGCTCCAAGGGGAGCAATCTGCTCTGTACCAATGGATGCATCAAATTGCTCAATCCCCAGGCACAAGGAGTGGTGCTGGGAGAGATTGTGCCTTTGATGCTTCTCCTGGGTGAGCCTGGCTCCACACTTCACCTTCTACAGAGGTGTGGTTTAAAAGCTTGATCTTAAGGTACATGTAATACCAAAATCGAGCTCATTTGAAGAGGACAGAAAAAGAAACACTGACAGTGGGATTTTATATATAATGGAAACAGCCACTCAGCCTTCACAAGAGCAGCTCACTCACATCACTACTATAGTTAAGGTTGCTGACAATTCCCAGTATAAGACCCGGTTTTCAATTGCTTGTATAATAAAAAGAGGTCACTCCCCTCCAAAACCTGGAGTTGATCTCAAGAGTGGCTGAGTCTCTACGTTCCTCTGCTTCAAGCAAATAGCTATGAAACCCTTTGGCAAGTGTGTGTCTTATCCCCCTGCTAGTGCAGGGTCTACACAAAGGATGACAACCTACTACTGCTATCAATTACTCCATTGTCTCAAGAGGAGAAGTCTGTGTGATGGATCCAACCCTTCTGAAGACCCAAACTGGGGAGTCAGTATAGTTCCACATGATAGTATTTTAGTTTTTTCAGTTTGTTTAAAAAAAAAATAGGACATTACATAGAAAAAATCTACATTAAAAGAATGTCGAAGTTGTAAAGTCAAATGCTCAAAAGTTAGGAAATGCCAGAATTATGGTTACCCATGCTACCTTAATTCATCCTGCTTGTGCATATCCATTATGACAAAGTCTTTAATTACATTGTCCTGTATTGCTTTTTCCACAGGACCCCATATATAGGTTTTTTGGATATAACATAGATGTACAGTGTGTTTGACTACATAGTATATCTGGGCAGTGGGATATATGTCAAACCTAATGCTTCACATACTGTTTCTCGTTTTGTTTCTAGTGTTCAGTGAGCTGTGGAGAGGGCACCCAGACTCGAAATGCCATTTGCAGGAAGATGCTGAAAACTGGAGGTTCTATCATCATCAATTCCTCAATGTGCCCACCTTTGCCTCTCTCTTCTTTAGTCAGGTCCTGTGCACTAGCAGCTTGCACAAGTGAGTACACAAGAAACTTGGGTGTGTTTGTGGGGAGAGGGCAGGAGCTCCACCACTAAGTATCTGGTACTACAGATTGCTAAGTGCACTGCAAGGTGCTGGGAGCCCTCTGCTCCCAACTACCTCACTGGGAGTCAAAGGTGCTCAGCACCTTGAATGACTTCTGGGGCCTGTATTTCCTTATTTGGGCCTTTCTCCCATGGTTTATAAGAAGAGCTGAGTGGCTGATGCTTTGCCAGAGTTGGCTGTGAACCTAGCAACAAGACAGAGTAGGGAATGGGAGCTCTAATGGTAATTATTAGAGGTGGGTCTGAGACAAACCCCCTGAACCAGAACCTCTTCCATTTTGATGAGGAGTGATCCAGACTGAAACTCAGATCTAACTTTCACAATTAGGGTTTAGAGGCATAATACCCTCTTGGCAGTTACAATGTCCTCTCTGCCAGGGGCCCATAGGGAGTAAGGGCCACCAATGAAGTGGACAGCACTGGCTGAGGAGGGTGTGTCCTGGTGGTTTGAGGACATGCTCATTTAGCACATCCCCCTCATCAGCCTGTGCCAGCTGGGCTCCTATGGAACCTTACAGCAGAAATTAAACCTGCTTTCTTGGTGGAGACCCTTTGGGAAGACAGTACGATCCTGTATGCAGGATGAAATAGCACTCCTGTATGCACTTGGATGAAGCGGGATAGTCTGGTGCAGGGAGATTTAAAAGCAAATCTGTCCCTAGCTCTACAATGAGCTGAACCAGAATCCCAGATCCAAAACCTCATAAACTTCAGGTGGAGAGGGGAAGAGAAGCAGAAGCTTTGAAATCCAGAGCCAAACCGAGAACCAAATGTCCAGATTCAAGACGTCTCTGCTAATAATACACCTATGCTGCTTTATGCTGTGCTTCCCATGGAGGCATGTTTTTCCTTTGTCTGGCAGAGAGATCTGGAAGCTGGAGGGACCCACATAACTAATTAAGTCTAATATTATGCACCTTGGGGTTTTAAACCTACTCTAAACAGATTTGTTCTGTTTAATATGAATCACTGAGGTCGTAACACTTTCACTCCTTCTCAATGCTATGAGATACAAAGTTGTGGTGCCTTGCAGGGCCTGAATGGTAAACATTTAACAAGAGGAACTCTCCTTCCCTGTTGTCCTTTGTCCGTATTTATTAACCACATTCTTCATTTAAATACTCACCCAACGGGGACTGTGTTTCCCCAACAAGTTCCCCTCTCAGTCCAATCCCTGGCACTACGGCTTCTACATTTAACCTCCTCAGGATGACATTCGTGTTGCTAAATTGCACCTTGTTATTTCTTGCATTTTGATGGTGGTAGCTTGATGTTCAGCAGCTGGTAACCTATTATTCCCATAAAACGTAATAGGTGAAATTACTGCCAGTGCCAAAATAAGTGGCTTGTTTTGTTTAACAGTACCCCTATGCTAATATTATTAGTTACATTTCAGGGCACAACAGGCCGGCTCAAAAGCAAAGCCCCCATATTATGGCCCTGAAGAAAGTTTACATCCAAACAAAGAAGCAGAAGAAGCTACACTTTATTGTGGGTGGCTATGCCTACCTGCTGCCCAAAACCTCTGTTGTCCTCCGATGTCCAGTGAGAAGGTTCCGTAAATCAATGATCACCTGGGAGAAAGACAACAAGCGACTCCTCAGTTCAATTCACATTACCATTGCACCGTACGGGTACATGAAGATCCACCGTTTAAAGCCTTCAGATGCTGGGACGTACACCTGCACAGCAGGGCCAGCCCGGGAACATTTTGTGATTAAACTAATTGGAGGCAACAATAAGCTCATCAACCAACCAGCTGGGATTAGAGAGGAAGAGGGTACAAGGAAGTCCAGTTTGAATGAAGCCTTGCACACTCAGGAGAAGCATCAGAATGGGATTCTCTTCAATAGGAGCAAGGCCGAGAAACGAGGGCATCTGGCTGATCCTAGCAGCCAGTACGATGAGATTGTCTCAAGACTTCTGGAGCAGAGAGGCTGGCCTGGGGAAAACCTGGAATCCTGGGAGGCTCAGGAGTCGACAGAGAGAAATGCCTCTTCAGAGGAGGAGCAGAGTCAGGAGTACAGCCTTCCGTTTACCATGGTCATGGAGCAGAAACGCTTGGATGATATCATAAGGAATTTGTCTCAGCAGCCTGAGGAACTTAAGGATGTCTACAGCAAGCAGCTTGTTGTGCAGCTGGCTGATGACATCTTCAGGAGCCATTTGGAAAATCAAGAATCTGTTTTCCAGGGGAGAATTCTTTCAGCTACAGCAGAGTTCTCTTTCCGCAACCCTATGTCTGGATTCACCAGTTCCTTGAGAACGTCGTCTGCCAAAGCACACCTGCCTACTTCAATGGAGGTGGGGAATGGCTCACGCAGGCCCCATCGAAAGCCTGCAATCCTCAGGAAGATTTCTGCAGCTCAGCAGCTCTCAGCCTCTGAAGTTGTCACCCACTTGGGACAGACAGTCGTCTTAGCCAGCGGGACCCTAAGTGTGCTGCTTCACTGTGAGGCTGTTGGGAACCCAAAGCCCACCATTAGCTGGGCTAAAAATGGAGCAGAGGTGCAATACAGTGACAGGTAGGAGAAGTACTTTCAGTTCCCTTTCTTTTAGGGCCTGTCTACATTACTAATAGAACCATATTTAGCTTTAGTCTGGTTACATGACACAGATAAGGCCACGCTTATGCAGTGGCAAGCTGGACTTTAACTCTGTAGCTCGGTACCTGGATTCTGGAGCAGCTTGGTATTACAGACAGGAGTCTATGGGGCAGTTTCATTTAAATAAAAAAATATTTCAATTAATTGTGAAAATGAGACAATCAGCACAGTGCTCTGTGATTTATTTTGATATTAAATTCACCACATGGGGAGGTGCAGGAAGCAATTTTGGGTAGTGGATTAAACACATTTGCTGGATGTTTCTGCTAAAATGATCAGCAATGAAATAGTAAAAATGAGATTCTGGGGTACAATTTTCTGGCAAGGAGTGAATTCTGTGGTTGCTGGTTAGGGTTCCATCTCCACTATGAATTGGAGTGATGTTTGTAACTGCACTTTAACCAGGTTCTCTGATGAGGCTATATTCCTAGAGTTTGTAACCATATCTAAAACTGTTTTAGAAGATGGCTGCAACATAATTTGTATCCAAAATCACCAGTTACCCAGTTGTGCTATAAGAGTGATTGGAAACAATACTCAGTCCATTGGTAGGGTAACTGTCTTGGTATTGAACATGGTTTCAGTTAACCTGGGCAACTTAGCAAAGCGTGGTCCATGCCGGAGAACCAAACTGAGCTGGCTACTATTGTGTTTGCAAATAGATGTCAGTCATATTTATTCTTAATATGGCAGGATCATGCTTAACAGCTATTTTCAGGCATCATTGCTACAAGCACAATATGATGCTCCATTGCATCAAAGTCTTCTGCTTTGACTAGATGCATCATGACTGCCAGTATGCAGAATTCTACTCTTGAGTGTGGCTTGAGAACAACTGCAGGAAAAATACTGTCCATGGTCCTCCATGTTAATTTGCTAATGACTGAAATGCTGCCAGGTCTGCTGAGTCCAGCCTTTATCCTTTATCCTCCAGTGACCTTCGTAGCACATATTTCTCTGATACATTTTGCATATACAGAACATACACAATTGCTGTTTGCGCTGCTTTGTGACAGACTGGTAGCCACAGATTGGGTTGAGCTGTGTTTCTAGCCATCATTAGCCCCTATCGAATTGATATGGGGACAATCATTTATTTTTCAGGGTGTTTTCACTAGACAGGAGTTCAAGTGAAGGGGCAGGTAAAGGAAATAGGGTTTGAAAAGACCACATTTTTTGTTTAACCCTTAGACATTGGAAATGTTGCTAAAATAATTTTGCTGTATGAAAATGTCATATTTCATTGCATGAAGAATGCTGTATCCTATCTTCCGTTATTTGCTAAATGGAAAGAAATCTGCACACTCAGGAGCGCTGCCAGCTTTTCTGCCGCCCTAGGCGGCGGAAGGTCCCGCCCCGAAATGCCGCCCCCCACAGAGGCGGCGGAAGGTCCCGCCGCCGAAATACCACCGCGGTCGCCGCCCCCCAAATTGTAGCGCCCTAGGCGACCGCCTAGGTCATCTAATGGGTTGCGCCAGCCCTGTGCACACTCCTATAAACCTTTAAACTGACCCCCTCAAGTACCCATTTGCAACAAATTTTTGGGAGCACTATGAAAGACTAATATTTACTAACCATTATTTACACACACACAAACACACAGCCACTTTATATTCTAGTTATGTACTTAGCTATGTGTTAGTAACATGCTATTATCCTGTATATACTCAGGATTTTATGGTTTACTCCAAGTAGCATACAAGAGGTGATGGTGTGCTTGGAGGCAGCTACATTAGTTGATGTAATACAAGCCAGCTGTCCAAGAATATGCTGCCAGTTCCCTCTGCATAAGTTATAGGAGTGAGGTTAAACATCTAAGTCTGGTCACCAGGGTCAGCCTGGGAAATGAGAAGAAACTCAGGAGTCTAGTCTCAAGGCTAACATTAATTTCAAGCACTGTTGCTGTGGAACATCTAGTAAATTCTTGATTTATCAAAGGTGCAGTTTGTCCCTGGTTTAGATATACAGTTAGTTTGCTTGCTCCTTTCTCACTTTCATGGTTGAATCACTTCCAGACTCAATGGTTTCTATAATTTATTGGCACTTGCAGTGTCACTGCCCTTTCAACTGTGCTTTTTCTGATTCTTTTTCTTTTCTCTTTCTGGCAGATAGAGTGCTAAGTTTGACAAAAAATGAGAACTATTTTCTTGGTTATGAGAACAAGAATGTATCTCTTGTGGAAACCACATGCAGTCTTAATCAAGACTTGGGCCTACGGTATACATTTGGTTGGACATAGTCCTGTGAAAATATCTTTTTGGCCCCCAAAAATTTGCATGCACAGATTTCCATTGCCGGTGGTTACATCCTGTTGGAAATTTGCCATCGAGTGATTTCTTCTGTTTGAAACTACTGTGATTTTTGTGGCATGCTTTAAAGGGAATATAGGTTACATAAAGTCCACCTGTGGTTTATGTTGAATATTAGACTCATGAGAAAATTATATATTTATCCCACACCATGTAAGAGACCATAATTTAGCAATAGATGGTTTACTGTTTTGTTGGTAAAGAACAAATAGCCTTTGATTTCTAAAATTTAATTTAAATAATATATATTTACTATATTTAGGGTTGCCAACTTTCCAATTTCTCAAAACCGGACACTACAAAACCAAGGCCCCCCACCTCCCTGTCCAAAGGCTGAACTCACCATAAAGAGAAGAGGGAGGTTGAAAGGGACTGCGTCTCTCCTTCTCCATCCAGCAGCAGCTCCGAGGCAAAGAGTTTGCAGGGAGTGATGGGAGCAGAAAGTGGGGGCGGGGGAGCTTCCTGCAGCTGGGAGAGGTTTCCGGAGATGGGGAGTAGCCCTTGCAGGGGAAGACGAAGTGTCCCTCCCCAGCCTGGCCTGGACTAGCACCTGGGATGCTTCCAGATCTGCCCCTCCCTGGCTCTGGGCCCAGCACCTGGGCTAAAGGAGGGCCATGGGCTGGATTGACCACAAAATTGTGGCAACCAAACTTTTGGTGTCCAGTCAATACTTCTGACCAGAGACTGTATAGATCCTTTGAAAACCGGACTTTCCAGTCAAAAACTGGACACCTGGCAATAGTCTATATTATGCTTTTCAATTTTTTTCCATTCTACTTGGCTAAACTAGCATCAAATGATATGCTATCATTCTGGATAGGCTGGCAACAGACTACTTACTACACATGCTCAAACATATTATCAGAACTGCTCGTAGGGGCGTGCAGTTATTTGGTGGCCCATGGTACCATTTGGCAGCTGTACTTCAGACAGCCAGGCAGGCAGTGCTCATTTTGTCATCCTGCCCCCCCCCCCCCTTGATCTTCCCTCCAGACTGGGGTGGGAGAAGTTCTAAATGCCAGTGCCCTGATTTTCCGGTGTGCTGAGGACCAATAACTTTGAAGTTAGTGGTAGCTGAGCGACCACAGCACATTTGAAAATCAGGCCACAGATGAGTTGCAAGGTGCTTCAAAGCAGCATTCCTTTCTTGGCTAAATAGCCACTTGCTAGCTGCCAATCACCTGTGTAAATCAGAACAAAAGTGATGTTTTCCATTAGGAGTGACAAGGCAGCCTGCATGTAGCCAGTAGGTATGCCTGAGTTTCTGCAGTCTGTCCTCTTCATGCTCTGCTGACCACACAAGGGAGAGGAAATTAATTTGCTAGCCAACCTCCCAGGCGGAAGGGAAGGAGAAAAAGAATGTGGATACTGCTTCCTGCATCAGCATTGAAGAGAGAGGCTCTCGACCGTGGTGATTTGGTTTGTCTGTGTATTTAGATTGTATGCTCCTGTGTCAGGGGCTGAGTCTTTTCCTGTGTCCTGCACAGCACCAAGCACACTGTTGGCACTTAACGCTCATGAATAATGGTAAAAACAACGAGGTGTCCTTGTGGCACCTTAGAGACTAACAAATTTATTTGGGCATAAGCTTTCATGGGCTAGAACCCACTTCATCGGATGCATAAAGTGAAAAATACAGGAGCTGGTATAAATACATGAAAGGATGGGGGTTGCTTTACCAAATGTGAGGTCAGTCTAATGAGATATAAATCAATTAACAGCAGGATACCAAGGGAGCAAAAATAACTTTTGAAGTGGTAAGAGTGTGGCCCATTACAGACAGTTAACAAGAAGGTGTGAGTAACAGTAGGGAGAAATTAATATTGGGGAAATTAAGTTTAGGTTTTGTAATGACCCAACCACTCCCAGTCTTTATTCAGGCCTAATATGATGGTATCCAATTTTCAAATTAATTCCAGTTCTGCAGCTTCACGTTGGAGTCTGTTTTTGAAGGTTTTTTTGTTGAAGAATTGCCACTTTTAGGTCTGTTGTTGAGTGACCAGAGAGACTGAAGTGTTCTCGTACTGGTTTTTGAATGTTATGATTCCTGATGTCAGATTTGTATCCATTTATTCTTTTGCGTAGAGACTTTCCGGTTTGGCCAATGTACATGTCAGAGGGGCATTGCTGGCACATGATGGCATATATCACATTGGTAGATGTGCAGATGAACGAGCCCCAGATGGTGTGGCTGATGTGGTTAGGATCTATGATGGTGTCCCTTGAATAGATGTGTGGACAGAGTTGGCACCGGGGTTTGTAACAGGGTTTGGTTCCTGGGTTGGTGTTTTTGTTGTGTGGTGTGTAGTTGCTGGTGAGTATTTGCTTCAGGTTGGGGGGCTATCTGTAGGCGAGGACTGACCTGTCTCCCAAGGTCTGTGAGAGTGAGGGATCGTCCTTCAGGATAGGATGTAGATCCTTGATGATGCGCTGGAGAGGTTTTAGTTGGGGGCTGTAGGTGACGGCTAGTGGCGTTCTGTTACTTTCTTTCTTGGTCCTGTCTTGTAGTAGGTGACTTCTCGGTACCCTTCTGGCTCTGTCAGTCTGTTTCTTCACTTCACCAGGTGGGTATTGTAATTTTAAGAACGCTTAATAGAGATTCTGTAGGTG